AACTCCTAACTTGAGAGGGGCGACGGATCTTGCAATGGTTTTATAGAGCACTTTCATATTCATTCATTCTGTTCGTTACGCTTTTTGGGGAAATTTAATTCCGTTCAATGAACGCTCTTGGTTAGCTGTTGGTCCTAAAAAACGCCTTCAAGAGTTTTCTTTCATTCCGTCTGGCGGTTGGCGTGTTGCAGGGAGCTTCTGTCTGTCGGTTTCACATGCATGTACAGTTTTGTTTGTGCGTGTTTGTTTGTGAGTGTTTGGTGTTGGAATTGAGCATTTACAACGGAAGAAGATGACTCGATCGCTGGGACAATACTTTTATTCGCCTGGCGTTTCGACATCCGTCGGGGATTCGTCATCAGAGGCATAATCACAGAGACGTAGCAGATACAGGAAATGTGTGCACAGGAGTTTGCCGTAAAATTAAAGCCTGTAAAAAAATCGATAAGTGACAGGACTGAGCGGTGATTCGTCACGTCAACAGTGACCATCTGCCCTTGCAGTGTTGGCGATGAATGATGCAGGGCCAGATGTTCATTACTGACGTGGCAAATCAGTGCTAACTCCTGTCAATTATCGATTTTTTTTAAACGTTTAAATCTTACGACAAACTCCTGTGCTCACGCTACCTGCATCTGCTACTGCTCTATGATTCCGTCTCTGAAGACGAATCCCCGACGGATCTCGAAACGTCATGCGAATAAAAGTATTGTTCCAGCGATCGAGTCGTCTTCTTCTCAGTTACTTCCTGGGACTCGCATGTTCGCTTACATTGACCATTTACAAGGGGTTCATTGAGCTTTTATAGACTGCGGTCACTAGTTTGCCATCCGATTGGTGGCAGTCGAAAACATTACAGGACGGATATCTGTCATCCATTTCTTCTTCTTCCAGCATACACTGTACATTAGGAAAAAAACAGGCTCAATCATTATTTGGAGAAGTTGCTTTGATCCTGGTCGTTGAAGACGAAGGAGGCATCAGTGCTAGGTTGACAGTGCAGTAGGCCACAAATGTCCAATGTTTACTTGTTGCAAGGGGCGGGATAAAAGCATAGTTTAACGCTCCGTCTACTCAAAGTTTGATTAATTAGTAGATGAGGCCGAGAGCCTGAATAATGAAAGGGATTGAAACTCTTGCTAAATTTGCCAATATCCAGCCGATGCGTGGTGTTTTAGGAACATCCATTGTAGTCATCTTGCTAATACTTTCGTGTATCAGAAGCAAACAGGTTTTCTCGAGCACCACTTGAACCAGAAAAATGGAAACAAACGTGATGACAAGACCTCTTAAACGTTGCCGTGCTTTCTGGCAAGAAGTAAGGCGTGTGCGAAGCTGCCATTTTTAAAGCCGGATATATCTCTTGCTTTCGGAAAACAATAAGATTTCTGAAGCATTTGTTCCCTGGTACAAATTTAAGACAGGCATAGACGGCAGAATTTATTGGTACCAGTAAATTCGTGACAGCTCTTCAGCATCAGTACCGTAAAACTCCTGTTACACAGTCGACGCCTTTGACTAAAGAACATATGGCTGCTCTGTCTACACTGAAACATAATGAAGAAATCACCATTTCTAAGCCTGACAAAGGTCATGGAGTGGTCATCTTTAACCGAGAGGATTATGTGAGAAAAATGGAATCCATTTTAAGTGATCAGACCAAATTTCGTCTAGAGACCTTAGGTAAAGAGGAAACCAAAGCAATAGAGGACTCTGCCTGGAAACTGATTAAACACTTACTAGACGAAAACCTAATTGACGCTTCAACTGCGCTATCCCTAAAACCAGAAGTACGCATATCCCTAGACTATATGGAGTTCCCAAAACACACAAGAGGGACA